ATTGACCTGTTTCAGTTAACGTTAAAGATTGATTACGGTACGTTTTCTTTTCCTCATATTTTTTTTATCATACCAATGATTTATTTTTAGGCCTTTTTTAAAATCAAATTTAACATGGAATTGATTTTTTTTATTCACATTATCAATGTTTAAGGCTTATAACGATTGTGTCCGGTCGCCAGGCGAAACCTCTCCTCCTTGACATCTAAACCACCTCTGGAATGACCATGGATCCTGGTTTCAAACTTTTTGCACAGATATGTATTAAGTTGGATTGTTTAGAAGCCCAATGCTTGTGATCGTGACCATTTCTATTTATGTCATAAAAACTTCTAAACAAAAATGCTTGCTTTTCTAAATTCTATTCCAGGACTTTACCTAAATGATGGAAAGTTTGATTTTAAATTTAATTTTTATTGTTCCTTATACATGTATTATTAGATAATTATTTTTATCCTGCAACTACCCCTTGCATTGACCTAATAAAGGTAACCTAATAAACCAAAGCTTTATCCGGTCACTGCCCTAATAAAGCCTCGTGCATGTATTCCGACGTTCTACAAACATTGTGACGCCATGTATATTGCAATGTTTACGCCATGTCGTCATAGTTTCAACTGCAGAGATGTGCCTAAATCTGTCGAAAATAGCTTGTTTTGGAGTTCAAATGTAAAGAATATGTTGCAGGATAAACAAATTACATGATAACTGTCTTGAAATATAAGCGATATTTGGGCTCGGGTTGAAAACGTAAGAGGGCTCAGCAAGCCTCGCCCTCTATCACGTTTTATTACTCTCGCCCAAATATCGCTTATATTTCAAGACAGTAACCATGTATTTATATTTATATACATTTTATTACAGGTACGTACAAGAATGGTTAGGTTGCCTGATTTCGGCAGGAATAGTCCGACTTCACGAGGACGGGAAATACTCACTTCCATATGAAGAGCCTGTGGTGAGGGAATGCTGTAGCATTGCCTCTGTCCTTCCTATACTCTGTGAGATGTTTCCTCGACTAGAAAACGTCATGTCAGAAGATGGACCACGAGGTCTCATTTTGGTTTACAAGATTTTTCTGGGGTTTTGCAAATATTAAAATATTAAAATTAAAACGTTATAAAGATACATGAGTCTACTATGAGAAGATTATTGTTTAAAAATAAAGCTTAACAAGTCTTTGGAAATTTGATAAAAGGTTTTAAGTGAAACCCTTTTGACTAAGTATAGAATCATGTAACCTTTGAGATTATAGGCCCTCATAAATTTTACTTGTAAAGTTCCCAAGCTGCTTGGGTTACAGGATTTCTTTTCAAATAATAGATAAGTCATATTTTGCATAATGTACATATATTCAGTTATCTTTTTGCTTACTTTGTCCCCTAAGGTTACGGGTGCTATGAGCCTTTCCTGCACTGGTGGGGTCATTTCTTTACATTGGAAGCAATTCAGAAGTGGATAAAAGAGCTGTTTGTCCCAGTACTGGAACTCAAAGAAGGTATAAAGATAATAAAGTGAGTTTTGTTGATTTTATCTCTCCCTCTCTTTCTCTCTTATTAATTTGACTCTCCATTTTTTTTTACCAGGGAACCAATTCACTCTGCTAGATCTTGGATGTGGTTACGGAAAGTTTACTTTAGAAATAGCTAAAGTGTATCCTGAGAGTTGCATTTATGGTATTGACATGGACAACGTCTCCATAGATTTCGCCCAAAAAGAACTTTCAAAGAATGATCAGAAAAATGTTCAATATTTCTGTAGGAAAGGGGGAGAACTTCCAGAGGATTGGACAGAGAAGTTTGATTTTGTCTTAATTAACGACGTTCTTCACGATTCATTCGAGGTCGACGCCATGCTTGAAGAAACAAAGAGGGTCGTTAAACCAGATGGATATGTAGCAACATATGACCCTCCCATATCCTCCTATCCCAACAAGCTAGTCAATGATCCAACAGCACAGATGGAGTTACCTCTAAGTCTCTTTTCGTGCCTTCCGTTGAGTTTATCGGGTCCCTCCGGTGGAGGTTTAGGTGTAGGATGGGGATATGAACGAAAGAAGAAAACAATAGAAGAACATGGATTCCGACTGATACAAGTTGGCGATAAGGGCATTAATACTATACAAGAACGTGTTGTCTTCCAAAAATAAACTCATATATAAAAGAAATGTATAGGTATCATGCACTACGTGATATACATGTAGCAAGACAGATGGTAATCGAATGATTTTTTGTACGAATATTAAAGTTAATTAATGTTCTTACTTTATGATATACATGTATTCTATTTCTTTATGAAAATGTCAAAATTACTACATTTTTTTATACTATATCTTATGTTAAAAATACATGTATCTCTTTTGAGATATTTTTTTGTCATTCAAAGACATATGTAATAAATCTAAATTATTTTCATATGTTTTGTTTTCTATTTTTACAACAAAGGAAATAGAAAAAATTTTCACGCATATGAAAACAGATACTAGCATTTGAATATGAAAAACAAAATTTATCAATTTTATTATTTCTTTTTTAGAAAAAAGAAAGACGTTTTACTTTCGTAAATTAGACTTGACATTTAAAATGTGAATTGCAAATCTGAATTAGGGCTAAAATCAGCCTAATGTCGTATATAAACGGAACTCTAAAACTTAAAGATTTCAAAACAATTTCCTGTTTCCTATTTACAAACTTTATATAAATATCTTTTCCCGATTTCTTTTTACAGTCGCAAAAATTTGGTATTGATTTGTTAATATGACGTCATGACGTTATACACGATAACGTAAAGACGTTCATTGCATTATTAAATGGAACTCTAAAATTAAAGATTTCAAAACATTTTCAGATTTTAGATAGTTACATTATATAAAATATGCTTATCATATTTTTAAAAAAAAATAACTTCAATGTACATGTCTCCACCAAAAAGATTTGTTTTAAGAAGATATATCGGTTTAAAAAACATTATAAATGTTGATGCACTTAGAGGCATTAAAATTTTGAAAATCTAGTACGTCATTTTGGCTATTCAAATTGACGTCATAGATGTAGCATATTTGCAATGTCACTCATTTTCTATAAAAGCAACCTCATAGAAATGAAAACACAAAACTAATTTCACTTATTATATACCTAATGTGTATCACTCAATTTTACTGTTGATTTTACGCTATCACGTGACATCGTGATCCGACTTTCCGGATCACCACACTGTGGTTTTCAGAATCCATATCACCACTCTCTGAAACTGATGACGTAGTACGCAGAAACATAACGTTATTTTTCTTGCGCGTCCAAAAGTCCATTGTTTTTATGCTTTGTTTTATGGATAAAAATTATACAATTGATCTCTTAAGTTTTATTTCGCTATATTTTGCTAGTTATAACGGGGTATATAATAAATTAATCATTATAACATTAACTTGATCTGATGAGTCGTATCACGTCTCGTTGACAGGCGCGGATCATCAGATCAAACTCGACGCTTCACGACTTGTTAGATCTGATGATCCGCGCCTGTCAAGTCGACGTGATAGGACCCTTCGGATCAAGTTACTGCTATAATAATATATATTTATCGTATTCTTCAAATATTGTAACAGGCTATCAATACCGCTAACACGTCTGAACTGTCTAAACTGATAAGAAAAAAAGTCAAGTTTAACATGGCGTCGGCACCCGGTCCCCGAGATTTACAACAGATCGTAAGAGATGGACTTAGTATTCTAGTTTTGGCATTTGGACACAAAGTCGGATTAATTGATGCGTTACTCAAAGAACAAGGCCCCTGTTCTGCGGAAGAGCTAAGTCAGAAGACAGGTAAAAAGTTAAGGTACGTCTTCTTTGTCGATGTCTATTTATAGAACCTAACCCAGATACTTAGTTCATTGAACTTATACATTTTTGCTGCATGGTACATAAAATATGCAGACAAGCTAAAAGCTATGCACTATACATTGTCTCATGAAATTTAGTTACTTATCTAATAAAGTACATTATATTTCAATTAAAACTTAATACTGAGTCACAGGCACCTGACCTTACGTATTTTTCATTTAATAAAAAATATACCGCCTTCCTAAGTTTACTATTCTGTAGGGGGTATATTTTTTTTAAAGAAAATTAAGTAACGTCAGGTGCCTGTGAACTGAGTATTTAATTTTTACTTCCATCGTTTTTAGCAACTCTTTTGTATAGTACAGATACTACAGCTAAGCAGAATTTTAAGAAAAACAAATGTAGGATATGAAATACCGATATAAAGATAGAAAATTAATCAAACATGTACTTAAAATCAAATTAATTAATTGGTACATTTCTGATAAAAGAGATATTTAAATCCAATTTCAAAAGCCTGACACATTGAAAAAGTTGTATCTTTTTAAGGACCATTTTAAATTGGTTTAATGTTTCAAATACCCAAAAATAGAATTCTTATCAGTATTACATTTTTTTTTCAATTTAACAAAATATATTTAAAAGGTCTAATTTCAAAATGTATTTTTTTTTGTATCTTTTAAGTATCATTTTAAATTGGTTTAATGTTTCAAGTACCCAAAAATAGAATTTTTATTAGTATTACACTTTTTTCAAATGAAGAAATATGTAGAAAAAGGTAAGTCCTCCTCACAGAAGTATTTTTTTCAACTGTACAACATAAGATATTCTACTTCAAAAGCCATGTGGCTTTACTATGTTTTCTAACATGATTTTAATAGGTATAATACTAAGTATTATTTTCATATACACTTAATATTTTGAATTTTATGTTGTGATAAAAATATCGCTATTCTTTTTGTTCTCTCTTTTGAAATTTCTTCATTTCATGATCTGACATAAGAATTTTTCTGCAAAAATAAATTGATTAGATTTCATACTTCAAACTATTTTCCATGTGGCTCTAAATACTATTGTTTTTCATGAAAATCAATGTTAAAAATTTTATTTTTTCTTAATGAAATTTATAGCAGAGGGTCGGGGCTCCTTAAAGGACACGAACATTAGAGCTGGGATCATGTGTCATAGAGGAGTAATCATCATCTCTTATTTTTTTCAAACCCATCGTGTGCTCTGTGACACAATCGGATAAACGTTTATGTTCTTAGACATATCGATGTAAGGTTTGTGACTTAGCTATTTGAATGAAAAACGTTATTTGGTATTTGACTCAATGATCGGTCGCACTTCCCGAAAAGAACATTATATCGTCATCGACCATCGAATAATTTGAATAATTAAGTGTCAACAAGAATGTTGATATTGTTTCATCAACTTATTTGCCAGGAGATTTCCTTGTTTTAGAATTTTTTCGAACAAAAAATGCTGTTGTGTATCGAACCATCAGAGATATAAACTTCATATTCAGGTAATAATGGTATATTGCCCTATTGTTATTCAATTCAGTATAACAAAACAAATGTACGTGTGCGTCAGTAATTCTTTCAAATACCAAAAAACAATACTTTTATTTTTCTCCTCAAAAGTCATCATTTTGCAAATCCAATGGTTGAAGCAATAATATAACCGAATAAAATCTGCCTTTTATTCGAATGCTTTACTGATGCTTTTCATACTAATTGTTAGGCCAATGACACGAAGCAAGCTACGACCGTGACTTGTCGACAGAAAATGATTAGTCCTCCACGGCACCTGTTCCCCACTGTTACTTAAAATGTGAGTGTTTTCTTTGCCCCCGATTTGTATTGATTCACTGGAACATTTAGCTTTGATAATGGTTCATCATCTGAATGTTTTATTTTAAACATGCCGGTGAATTATTGATAGGACTATGTTTTTATGCATAATTTGACTACGAAATATTTTGTCCATATTTTGTGAAATTCTTACATTTCATGGCAGTTTTGACCGGTTGACAGGGGATGCTTACATCTCCATGGCGCCTGATCCCACCTCTAAAATATCAGTAAGACTATGTTTTAAGTCGTCTTCACATACCTGATTTTTGGAGAGAATTATTTTATTGCAAAACTTTTATATATACTTGCAAATATTCTTTCTGAATCGAATTCAAGGACTTAACATTTAAGATTGGAATATTGTTTCTAAATTAACTTCTAATGTACAAAATATTTTAGGTACGTACAAGATGGCTGGGTTTATGATTTCTGCACTGGAAAATGTAGATTTTTCTGGTATGAGAATTTAATAAGCAAGAAAATTATTTCAAAGAAATAATTTAAGCTAGGTCAAAGTTAACTTCCAAAAGTATGAAAAATCACTGGTGAAACAATGTTAAAATTGGAAGCATTGCCTATATTTACTGTATCACTTCCTATACTCATGTGAGATGTTCCCTCAACTAGAAACACGTTCACTGGCAAAAAACAGCTTTGTGTGCAACCACATGGAAAAATAGGAATCTAAAATTAACAGTACTGTTATAGTTTAAGGGAAGAGAAATTTTTTCTATAAAGATACATTTTTCATTATATCTTATTTTCACAATGAGAACTTGATATACGATAATATATATAAGTGAATACCATTTTACTCAGAACTTTTAAGTACATACCTATTTTTAGAGAATTTTATTGCCAAACTTTTATATATACTTGCAAATATTCTTTCTGAATCGAATTCAAGGACTTAACATTTAAGATTGGAATATTGTTTCTAAATTAACTTCTTATGTACAAAATATTTTAGGTACGTACAAGAATGGCTGGGTTGTATGATTTCGGCAGGAATTGTCAGACTTCATGAGGACGGGAAATACTCACTTCCATATGAAAAATCACTGGTGAAACAATGCGGAAGCATTGCCTCCGTCCTTCCTATACTCTGTGAGATGTTCCCTCAACTAGAAAACGTAATGGCAGAGGATGGACCACGAGGTCTCATTTTTGTTTACCAGAATTAAGAGAAATTTATTATATAAAGATACATGTATATCTTATTTTCACAATGATATTGATATACGATAATATATATAAGTGAATACCATTTTACTTAACTTTAAGTACATATAAAATATTGAAGTTATGTATTCTTCTTGATTAAAAGTTTTACACCTAAATTAATATTCCTATGCTTCATGGATACAATTCGCTCACAAATAATGGAGAAATTTAATTTTACATAATGCATACATTCAGAAAGCAAACGTGTTTCTTATTTACATAATTTGCTTCTAAAGGTTACGGATGCTATGAGCCATTTCTACATTGGTGGGGCCAATTTTTCACACCGGAAGCAGTTCAAAACTGGATAAAAGATCTGTTGATCCCAGTGCTGGAACTCAGACAAGGTGGTGGCAATGAATTTGCACATAAAAATATTTTTTGAATAAGTATATACGTGCAATATATAATTAAGTTTTGTTGATTTAAATTTTCTAACACTCCCATTATTTTTATTGATTTAACTCATCATTTTTGTTTTAACCAGGAAGCCAGTTTACTCTGCTAGATCTTGGATGTGGTTACGGAAAATTTACTTTAGAAATAGCTAAAATGTATCCTGAGAGTAGCATTTATGGTATTGACATGGACAAGGTGTCCATAGATCATGCCCAAGAAGAACTCTCAAAGAGTGATAGGAAAAATGTTCAATTTATCTACAGGAAAGGGGGAGATCTTCCAGAGGATTGGACAGAGAAGTTTGACTTTGTCTTCATTAACGATGTTCTTCACGATTCGTTTGAGGTCGACGCCATGCTTGAAGAAACAAAGAGGGTCGTGAAACCAGATGGATATGTAGCAACATATGACCCTCCCATATCCTCGTATCCCAACAAGCTAGTCAATGATCCAACAGCACAGATGCAATTGCCTTTGAGTCTCTTCTCTTGCCTTCCGTTGAGTTTATCGGGTCCTTCTGGTGAGGGTTTGGGTGTAGGATGGGGATATGAACGAAAGAAGAAAACAATCGAAGAACATGGATTCCGACTGATACAAGTTGGCGATAACGACATAAACACCATACAACCACGTGTTGTCTTCCAAAAATAAACTCATATTTTATTTCATCGAATTTGAAATTTACACTTCTAAATACATGTACTACGCAATATAGCAAGACAGGTTGTAATCTTATGAATTTGATTAGAAAATTAAAGCTAATGCTCTTACTTTATGATAAATTCTGTTTCTTTTTAAAATGTTCTTAATAATTCTTTTTTTTATTATTTTATTTTTGTACATCTCTCTTTGGAATTAAAATTTTATAATTCAAGACTTTTATCAACTCTTTTAAAATTGTTTCATGGCGTTTTCTTTTTGCATTTTTACAAAGGAAATGGAAGATTTGTTTTACGAATATGAAAAACATACCGGTATACATGGTACTAGTATTTGAATATGAAAAACAGAATTTATTTATTTCATTCTTTTAGAAAAGAAAGAAAGACCCTTTGATAAATTAAGCAACAGTTACATGTTCCATATCAAATTCTATACTTGTTCTCATTTTCTCTGAGTCTCTTTTTAATTTGTATTTACCTAGTTATAGTAGAGACATACTGGTAAAAAAAAAAAAGGAAAACCCAGAACGTGAGTCCATAAAATGGAAATTAGACAAACAATATTTTTTTTCAATATGTTTATATAATAGATCGATAATTCTATTAAAATTAGATATGAAATTTAAAATGTACATTGCAAACTTGAATTAATGATAAGCTGATCTTTAAAATGCTTCATGGTACAAATCTTTAAAAGTGAAGACCAATGTCCCCTTCAGTTGGTGGCACGATTAAGAACAATTCTGGTCAATAGTCAAAATTTGAAGTTCTTCATCGGTTTATGATGATGTTTCGTGTGAATAAAAATTCTAGCAGGGTTCTTTAATTCAAAAATAAACAAAAAAGGCAGCTTTATTGTCATAACTGCGTAGAGAAAATACAAAATGTATGACGTGTACAAACAATATTTTAAAAAAATACATTGAAATATTCTTTTGTCACAGTAAACTGTTTAACATTAGCACTCAAAAAGGGAAACAAATTCCCTCCTGATGCAATAATTTTTCCATTTGTTAAATAAGTTCAGAATAATTATTATCCACATTTGTGGCACTCTGAAATATATAGCATGAAATAAATGGAGATAGTGAACAGTATTCAAGCTCAAAAGTCTATAAAACAAAACAAAATTGGAGCAGACCAAAAAAAAAAGATGGTTGGTTTTCTCCATCATTTATGGTAATTTTTTCGATTATGATCAAAAAGTACCTTGTCCATGATCGACAAAAAAAGACTTTATGATGCTATAAATATTTTATCAAATCTAAATTAACTCTTATTTTTGAAGCTGACAACATTTAATGCAAACAAATCCTCATAATTTTAAAATTACGCAAAAAAATCCGCGCGATTTTTGCAAAAATAGTGGTCGATATCTTTTTCCTATCAACTAAGTGCATGAAAACCTATCATAAAGTGTATGTGATTTCACTTTGATTTATTCAACTACATGTAAATCAAGTACTACTGGTTTGAAAAATTGCACTGTGCACTGGATCAATTCAGTTAAATGAAAAAGGGACAATATTTTGTAGCAGTCATACTGAACATAATTTTATTTGAATTAAAGCAAATTGATAAGATAAAAGAATTACAATTCTTTTATCCTTTGAAACAATAAATATATACAGGTATTCTTAACTCAATACTGTGTGAATGAGTGAAAGAGAGAGAAAATGAAACTGCCTTAGAAACAAACTCTCAAATAAAAAATGTTCAAGCAAATGGAATCACTTTTAACAATAATCACGAAACGATAGAAAAGAAAATTATACAAGTAACAGCCCACTGGAATAATGAAATGATAAAACACACCTTATCAAACAACTTTCCAACTTCAATCCATGTCACATGGTAATCGGTATCTTCAATTGGTGGAGTTTTAACATCATAGCTTTCAACTGAATTTAATACTTTCCTTTTCTGACGACAACATTTGATCAAGCTAATAATGCATCTCGGTACAGGCTCATCGGAAGAAAAGTTTTGAATTTTAAAACTAAAAATGACAAACACAACAATAATGGACCCGCTGACAACATAGCTAACCAGAATGTACCCAATAATGGACACATCGGGTTCGGAAGCTTGAGGAAGCATTCCTTCGATCAAAGTGAGATACAAAACTATTGATAAAAGAACCGTTGTGCAGAAACCCAATCGCTCGCCTGACTCCGGAGGAAGAACGAAAACAAACCCCATTAATAGGGAGAAAGAAGTAATCGGTAGTATCAGACTTGTAACGTAATAAGCTGTCCTTCGTTTCAAATGAAATCCCACAATTATTTCTTCAAATCCGTAAAAGTTCAACTGTGTATAGGTTGTGGAAGATACAATGTCCCATACACCGTTCTCTTGATATAATGTTAAAATAACACTTGTTGACATAAAGTTGACCTTGACCTCGGTTGGTTCATAACCCCAAATGAAGAATTTCAAAGTGCAGTACTGTGTGTCAAAGGGAAAATCAGACACGTCAGCATTACAAATAATCTCAAGTGCTTGAAGAGCAAACCATTCACACATCCCAGAAGAGGACACACGCACTCTCACTAAATCATTCCCAAGTCCTTTTATATCCTCGAAAGGATTGATATTGACGAAATTTGGAAGCCAAATCCTATTCTGTGGAAATGTGGTTCTGCTGGTCTGGTTAAAGTTTGCTGGATTCCAGGAAAGTCTTTCGTCAAACCATTTAGAATCAAAGAAGCCGGTAAGGCTTAATTTTCCAGTGTTCAGATCGAACTCGTTAATAGAAAACAGGTAAAAGGATGTGTTTATATCGAGGCGGTATGTTCTGTCAGTCCCGGGCGTCAACTCGTTATCATAACCCGTCAAAAGAGAGGTTCGTAAATTCTGCTCGTCCGTCAATGTGTACGCTTTCACCGCTCCTAACAAAATATGACAACAGAATAGTCTCTGTAGAAATAATTCCATTCTGAGCCTTCTAAATTTTCAATCAAGTTGTTTCTTTCTTAATTTTAATCACAGTGAGAATCACACGGTCAGGCCATCTAAATCACTGGAAAATTTCTCAGTGATCAAACTGGACCGATATAGAATTCGTCAGGAATTAAATACCTCCAAGGAAAACATTTGAATCTAGAGATTGTTTTCAATTAAGGTTCAGTAATAGGCCCTTGAGAATCAAAGTCCACTATACTGCATCAAAAGAACCTAATTTAATATCAGGACAATGAGAAATAAATCGATTTACCATATTTAATAAGATGTATGGTAATTTAATCCCAATGATCAATTATTTACATCTATTTATTATACCTCAAACCAAACAATCATAATGTGTACTCAGTTCCAGATATTCTCGCTGAATAAGTGATAGTTAAATAATTATATTTGCTCTAGTTTTTTTTTTTCCTTACTTCATTAACCCCGTTTTGTTGAAGGTGACCTTGGTAGCAAATATGACCTATATCTGACTGGTGTGTGTAATAAAAAGTTTAAGGTCCTTCCATTTTATACTTAACTTGACAGAGAAATGTTCTCTTTATCTGATCAATACTTAGAGAACAAGGCGGGTGTGACTGATCTACAGGGAATGTTTTCCTGATCTAAGCACCTGATTCAACATGTACAATTTTCGAGGGGGTCTATACGTTGTTTACTGATTTTTATTGTTTGTTAATTGTTTAAGACATCGTTGTTCGTTATGCTCATTTACATCCAATGTTCGCTTTTAATAAAAGTAGGAGAAAATCTTTTTCGTCTGATTAAAAGAACAAAAATGGGCTTTTTTGTCCCATATAAACGAAAAAGTAAATGTCATGGAAACTGGTTTTATTTTAATCATACGAGGCAAGTTGGAAAAGTAAGTGTCTGCTTGAGTAATAGAGGTTTAACTATTTTAAGTGTAAAGACTTGTTTTGTTGTAATTTTGCAATGAAGTAGAAGTTGTTGAAGCAAACGGGTTGATGAAACAAGAATTTCAGCAGTCTCGTTTGAAGTCATCATTGCGTAGGTTCTATATATGGTCGATACAGCGAGCTTGTCACCACGTGCAATTTGTCTTTGAGACGGGTGCGTTTTTCATGCGGTTGTTGGTCCACTGTTTATACACTGAATTGGCAATGATTTTTTTCCCGAGCGTGACAGGGTCGTGACCGGTCGGAAGGGGATGCTCACTCCTCCGTGGCACCTGATCCCAAGTGTAATGTTTTGGAAGACCGTGTTTACTCTGCTCCTACTTTGCATTGTTTTATGGACTTTTGAGCTTAAATACTGCTCCATGTGTTTCATTTAAAGATACATTATTGAAATTTTAATGATATACACAAAGTATCAATTATAACTATTCTGCAGAGTTGTACGGGTAATCTATCACAATTTACAATAGAATTCCTTCATGCTCAGTGATTGGGATAAGTTAGGGAGTAAATGTGACAATGGCACACTTCAAGTCAGTGTCAATGTGACATTTCTAAATTCAATGTTTCAAACAGATTTTTTAAAGGGACGTTTCCTAGTTACAAACTTACAATCGACTAGTTCCTGTTAGAATTTCAGTTGACTTTACTTTATTGATGATTTCAATTGTCAAATTACTTAATGATCATTAATGAATATTTGAATAGTTTAATGACATACTACGTCTAGATTTTCTTTATGTAATTTCTTTTTTATTTCATAGATTTTCCAACATTTTCTCACATATGTAATTTCTTTTTTATTTCAAAAAGAGACATTTTAAGTAACATAATAAACTTTTACCTACATTTTCTCACACATCTACACTTTCCTCATATATTTAGAAAATATTTAATTATTGAAAAACAATTGAAAAGAAAATGATAGACGATAGTGTTACTTGGATAAATAAAATGATGAAACACGTTTTGTCAAATATTCTTCCCACATCTGTCCAAGTCACGTGATCGTCAAATTCATCCATTGTTACAGATTTTGAATCCAATATTTCCACTGTGTTCATCGATTTCTTCCTCTTTCGACAAAATTTGACTGTTCTCGTTATGAGTCCA